CACAAGAGGAAGCCCTAGGAGTGATATAAAGAAAACAATAAACCCTGACTGAATCAGCGCAAGTAAACAGATTAATTTAACCTAATCAATCTTACCCTATAAATTCCTAATCCACTAATTAGTAAAGTGGCAAAACTCTGTTCTTTCAACTCAAGTTGCGTAAATCACTTAAATCTCACCTTAGTAAAGCTGCAACAAATTCTCCGCTCCTTCTTCCTTACAATTACCAAACTCTGACTTTATATACTCTAACTAATCTGCATATCAGGGTTTCTTCTTGAGAGGGATGGCTGTGAATTAAACGCGAATGCTAGCCCTAAGATTCCCCAAGAGGATTAGTATGAAGGTCGCGTAAAGACCCGTCACATGTGGTTTGTACACATTCACGAGAGTCATTAGAGATGAAGCCGTAAGGGTTAACAGCGGTGGCCTTCGTAATTTTAAGACTCGGTCATTTAAAAAGAATTACACCTGCTCTTACCCCTCCATCCAAATTTCCGCACCACCACTCCAATTTGAGGACTTTGAGCCTCGATAGTTTTAACAGGCATCAATTCCTTATATGGAAGATCTTCGGTGGTACTAGGACTCAAACCCGCGTCTCGACTACGCCGGAGATGATCACTCGGTGACCGTGGATACTACTTTGTCTGGATAATAATATATGAATTCATTTACATAAACTTCTAAACATTAATCTGTTTTTAATGGAACAATTTACAGTAGAACGTCGTCTATCCGAATCAATTGGGACCGGACACCATTCGGATATGTGATTGTTCGGATATCCGAAAACCGAATGCAATCCATGCAGTATATGAAACCGGACACTATACGAATATTGGAAATCATCACATGCGGGAAACGTGCTTGAAGAAAAAGCAAAATAGATGCAAAATGTTGCAATTTTACTTTTGTTGCGGAAAATAATCACTTATTTTTCGCTGTAACATTGTACATCTTCGTTTCTTTCGCTGCTATGTCTCTGATTCTCTTGAACATCAGCAGTTGAGTAGGACAGCACTGATTGTTGTTCGTACCACTCCATAGCTGTCTCTAACGTAGAAAATGCGTCAGCATCTGATGGACCCTTGCTACTTTCGTTGTTGTTGTTGTCCTCGTCCTCATCCATTTCATCGTCGACTGAGTCGGATTCTTCGTGCACGGAAGTCACAATCTCGTCATCATTTAGCATTTGAAATCCACAGTCTTCTGCATCGCATACCATCCAGGTTATTACATCTTCTTCATCGCAATTTAAGTTTTATCTCATGTTCAAGGTGTTGCGCTTCCGTTTTGATTTGGAAGCCATAGCAGTTCACAACTCAACAAAAGAGCACGTATACGCCCCCTCACTTGGAAGCAAACCGACCTAATATTCCACTCAGATGTTTACCAAGTCACACAACTGAAATTCCCCAAATATCCCTGATCTTGGGTTTTTCCGTCACTTTTGGCCTCACGCGAAACAACTGTTGAGCATTGCACTGCTCGAAAACGTATTCATGTACAGCACACGTAGTTAATAAAAAAAACCTCCTCCGGATATTTGATGCTCCGGATAATAAACTTTTGGATAAACTTTGGACATAGATCTATTACTAGTATATAAGAATCTGATAACAACGGTGATTTTTTTGTGATCGTTAAAAGGTCATAACTACCTTGACGATTTGATTTACCAAATTAATTTTCATTCTAGTTGATTTGATTATGCGAATTAGTAATATAATTTTTTTTTTAACCGTGTTATATCCTGAAAATTATATTTAACTTAAGCTTTGTTCTCCACATAATTTAACTATTTGAATTTGTTACGCGTATATATATATATTTTTTTTCTTCAAAAAATTAAATTTTATTGGAATAATTGAAGACTTAGGCTGCTTAAATGGATTTTTGTATTTGAGAGGGGGAGGGGGAAGGGGCGGATTTTTATTTTTATTTGATGTCTTTCAT